GTTGTTGAATTTCTTGCTCTGCAAGGAGCATATCTGACTTTGATTGGAATATGTCTTTTAGGAGAGATGTGGTGTGTGGGTTTTGTAGAGTGGTGAGTTTTTTTTCTTCCAAGGTCAAAGGCAAGGTCTTGGCAGATCATTCCACCTCTGCCTCAGAATAAAGAGATTTTCATTTTTTTTTCCTATTATGCAGTGATTTGGAAGGTGCTTGAATACTTCATAGCAATCCTGTAAATAAGCCTGAAACTGAAAGCAAGCCAGCTCCTTAAACATTCTTATTCTTCCAAGATTTCTGGGAGGTTTCCTTGAAACAGCTTTAAAAATTCTCCAAAGCTTTCTGAAACTTGCACCACTGTCAGTTCATATTCCAAGAAGAATGCTTCCGACAAATGACATTTTTCCCCCCAGTCTCATTTGTTATACAACTAATGATGTCTCTATGTCTGCAGGATTGTTTCCTGTGATAATCTGTAGGCTTCCGTGTCTCATTCCTGTGACATAGGTGAGATGAAAGATAACAGACAACAATGTAAGGAAGAGTATCTAGAAAGAGGTGCAATGGACAAGTAGGGTCACGAAGGAAAAAGTTTCTTTGCTGCCAGGGGTGATGCTAGATGTCTAAATCAAAACTAAGACAACTTTTTTCCTCTGCTGAGGTCAAACCTGGAATTTCTGCTTGTCCTCTAAGCTGACTAAGTTAAAAAGTACATTTGAATCTAGCCTAATAAAAGGCTATCTCATATATTTTCGAGGTAGTAGTCTGTAGAAAGTGAAACCACATACTTAGTTTTGTGTGCTTCATATTGCAGTGGCCCCAGAGCGTTGGGAGGTCCCACGTTCGGTTCAGGACCAGCTAGCAGAGAGTATCAGCCCTGTATGTCCCTGGACAAGATGCAGCAGCGTGAAGTTCAGTGTAGGCCAGTTTACCTGTCTTCACAGGCAGGCTTTGCTAAGCCCCTTCCTTAGCCGGGTTGGTTTTGGGAACCCTGGAGGTGGCCAAGGTAAAGCTCTGTGCTGCAGTCAGGCAGACGGGGCTCATTCACGTCATTGGACTTGCTTGGTGCTGTAATGCTGAGACATTGAATCCTTTGCAGTTATGAGGCCGTTGTGGAAACTGTGCGCGTGAGCATGTGAGTGCCTGCTTCTGAGCTCTTTGCAATGAAGTGAACTGCAGCTTTCACTGTCTAGTCTTGTTTTTTTATCCTTCCCTAGCAATATCTGGCTAGAACTTTGTAAGTCTGATTGAGAAACCAGAAACTTAATATTGAGAAGCCCATCCTAAGAATATTTTTGCTCTTATTTTTTCTTTTGTGGTTGAGCAATAGACTGATGTCGTGGTTTAGGCCGCTTCAGCAACTAAACTCCTCACAACAGCTTGCTTACCCTCCCCCACCCTAGGGATGAGGAAGGGAAATAAAGGAGAAAAAGAAAAGAGACCCGTGGGTTGAGATAAGAACAATTTACTACTATTGCTACCTATATATATACAGATATATAAAATGATAAATATATACGATCAAGTGATGTACGGTGTAATTGCTCACCACCCCTTGACCGTGGCCCGTCTCGTCCCGAATCCCAAAACAGATGAGTCCCGATACCGCAATCCTGGACAAGCGAGAGGCCTGAGAAGAGAGAGAGAGCAAGACAGAGCACTCCGAGAGTCCGAAAGTGAGAGTCCCGAAAGAGCAAAGGCCCTTCTTTCCAGCTGACCCTCATTTTTATACTGGGCATGATGCTGCGTGATATGGAATACTAATTGGCCAGTTTGGTCTCAATCCTAAGTCTAAGTACAAATCGTAAGGAGAGTCGTGGACCACCTGTCCTGGCTATGCTCCCCCCCTATCCTGTTGTGCTTCTGCACACTGGCAAAAACATGGGAAGCTGAAAAGTCCCTGAGACCTCAGTGCCAACTGTAAACATCAGTGTGCTGTCAGCGTTCTCAGAGCAAGTCTCAGACTAAAACCAAAACACGGAGCTCTTCTAGCTGCTAAAAAGAAGAGCTAACTCTGTCCCAGCTGAAACCAGGACAGCTGATATGGGGATATATTTTAAAATCCTCAAGAGAACAATGCTTACATTTCTGAAATATGTACAGGTTTGTGTTGACTGCAGAGCTGAAGACACTAACTTGTGCGATACATCCGAACATGTAAATCATATGCAGTGCTTATTTCCCCCACCCCACCCCTTAAACAAGAAACTGTGTTTTAGAAATGTTTAAAGTGAAAATGCTGTTAATTTAGCGGAACCTGATGGCAATGTCTAAGTAGTTAGAAACAGCAGAGGAGAAAAGCAAGAGAGCTATGCTTGCAACTTAAACTACAGGCCAGGAATGGTAGGACACAATGATAATGTCTCGTTCTGTGTTTGTTTTTCCTGAACCAGAGTTCAAAAGCTATAATTGATTTCTTGATGGTATAAAGCTGCTTGTTACATTGCCAGCCTAGCAAATACTTAAAGGTCTGGTTTATGTAAAGATTAAATATTAACTTACTTAAAGGAAGGCTTTGCTTTGTAGTATGAAGATCCTGTAAAACTGTTGATTTGCCATTTGCTGAGTGAATTTGAACAAGTAGTAGGATTGTTGTTCATTTAATCTATCTGGTAATGGGAATAACAATGGTGAAAGGAATAGAAACAAACACTTGCATGAACTTCTGAGGCAGAAGAAAACTGATCATCTTTTATTTCATTCAAGGAAGATAATATAGGATGAAAATCACAGGTATTTCAGTGTTGGCTTTTACCTCAAACTGCAGGAGTTTGCCAAACTACAGTTGTTCTGCACAGTCTAATAACTGCATTCTGACCTAAGGGACCTAGGTATGAAAGCAAAAATTATCTTCCTGGTGCTATGAAGCTTTAATTAATTTTTATGAAGTTTATTTAGGGAACTTTTTGATGAAGTCTCACAGGTGATATAATCTTAAGCTTTTTTTGTCTGCATATAAAAGACTGTTCATTATTTTGAGTCTTCAAACATCAAATTTGGCTCACAATGTTGTTTTGTACTGAGAGCAGAAATGAGGCTACAGATTATGAAGTGCTTTAACCAGAATTACGTAAAAAAAATTTCCTGTAGTTTTATAGATAACGATGTTCTCTCATCCCGTTAGAGGATAATTAAGAATTTTTTAATTTCTTATCTAGGGAAATATGTTTGTCCAGCTGTGTGCAAAGGTGTTTACTTAAGATATATGAGGAGCCAAAGACAAAGCTTAATCAAAATTACTTTTAATTTTTTTTTTTAAGTTGAGCAAACAACCCTACTCAGCAAGCTTGTTTTACTTTTCACTGTTTTAATGATTTCATCTTCTGCTTGTTTTGTTGAAAAAGTTTTAACTGGAGAACTAACACATTAGTAACATTTCAAGCAAAAACACTCCTGGGATTTGCTTTAAAAGAAACGCGGCTTCTATAGCGTGCCCTTAAGTAGTACTGAGACTGTATCATGATACAACTGGACCTGTTCTTATATTTACATGCATACTTTGCAGGTAATTGGGTGCTTCGGGTCTGTTTTTCTGTGTGCATTGTGTCCCTGTTTCCGACAGAAACACGGGAGGAGGATGTGCAAGTATGCGTAACTAATGTGAAATTAAGCTATTCTTTAGGCTTGACCTCCTTTAGGTTGAAGACAACCTTGTTCTCTTCTGAATGGTAATTTCTTCCTTCTTTAGGTGGAAGGAACCAGAACCTTTTTCATTAAATTTGTAGAGGCTTCCATGGACAGAGTGGATAGTTTAAGGAAGGGGGAGGGGGAGAAAGAAAAAGAAAAAAAAAAAACCAAACCCACAAAAAACACCCTACATATCTGAACAAAAAGGAGTCATCTATACATTGAGATATCACCTCATTATGCCTCTTGTGGACTATAAAAAGAGGCATGGTTGCATAATATAGTTGCAGGCCCCTTTACTATAGATATCTGCAGTTAAGTGAGATATATGCCACGTCTGTGACAAAAGCAACCCTTCAGAAGGAACTCTGCAATGCATACTGAAGCCAGGCAGATTTAAGACTCTGGCGTGCATCAGGAAAAAGCTCCTTTGAACTGGCACAGAGTGACGATGGTAGAAACGTCAGAGCTGAGAGAGAGGATACAATGTGGAGTGAGGTCAACTGCAGTAGACGAGGTGTGCTCTGTTAACCTTTTTGCTCATGCTGATGACCAGAAGCTTAAATTTGCTGTATAAGAAAAAGAGTCAGGTAAATATCCTTTCCTCATAGAATTTCAGGAATTCAGTGTCTAAAGAAGAGATCCAGCAAGGGGAGTGATACGAACAAAGCGACCCATTAAGTACAGCAGCTCTCTGTTCAGCATCTTACCTGAACTGATGAATGAAGCGTGAAGGTTTTGGAGAAGCCTGAAGGCAGGAGGATGTACTAGTCAGGCAGTGTACAAGGTAGATTTGAACAATAGAATTTGCTGGTGGGATAAAAGGAAATGAGGATATAGGAGAGAAGGAAGTGGAGAGGTTTAACTATGTCTGAAGAATTCAGGTCAGGGGAAAAAAGTCAAAAATAGCATGTGACAGGAAGAGAGAAGTGGTAGGAAAAAAAAGAAAGGGGAGTAGCTTGCATATAACAGTTTCACAGGGACTTCTATAAGAACAACTTTTATTCCATTTTCTGCTTTCCAATGGTACATTGTTGGCCTAGTTGTTGACATGCCTCAGGAAACTGCTAGGTGCAGATCTGATGAGAAACATGCATAAATTATTATCTAATTAATGTCTGTGAAAAGGAGCGTGCTCACTTGGTTAGCGCAGGGAGCTGGATCTCTTCAGCTCTTCCACTGACTCACCCAGGCTGAAAGGCTGGCACTAGGAACAGTAACTCCTCTTTTATCCCAGAGGAGGGTAGGGAGGCTCTGCTGACACCTGAAGTACTTTTTGGAACAAGTCAGCTATGTTGTATACCTCACTTCTAGCCAAACTTTTGATTCAATATGAATTTACTTACCATGTATCTTTTTTTTTCTCTTCCAGTTACTATTTCTTCAACTGCAGAAAAAGGTAAATTTTTTTTTTTTTTGAAGATGTGAATAGTTTTGTTGCACACAAGTCTTAAGGGACATAGATTTTAAATGTACTTCTTTATGTGTTAGCTCTGTGTAGTGAGTAGAATAGTGCTAAGAAACAAGGTAAATATTGTGAGGTTGAGTCTGTTTAGCTTCTAGTACCACAAGCTTGGAATGACAAGAAGACTGTGAGTAACGCAACTATAAGTTAGGTTTGCAAATATTTTTAAATGGGTACCTTCTAAGAACAGAAAAGAAGAGAGGAGCAACTGCAGCAGATCCAAAATTCCACTTTCTGTTTATTCCTGAAGAGACTCTATGACCTGAAAGACTTTTGGAAGAGGAAGAATTGTTGTTCTACTGCTTGCTGTTTTCCAAACAGCTTACCAAATTCTTCGGAACTCTGTTCTTTAGGACTGGTTAGAACTGTGCAAAACACAGCCATTTCAAAAGTGGCTGCAGATAATAATTTCCAATTTCCAGGTGAAGTGGCTAAGGCCTTGTTTTGACAAACGTTACTTAAGTCTCTGTATTGGCTTTGGCAAGTGTACGCCACAGTGGGTAGTACTTATAGGGATACAAACTGACCAAAAAAGTCCCAGCATTCTTGCTCTGCCACTTCTTTTAATTGAGAACAAAAAGTAGTATAAAGGATGATTCCAGAAGTTCAAAATACAAAGGTTTTCAATAAAACTGTTTTTTTTCCCCCTGTAGAAATACAAATGATTGATGGGATATCTGTTTGGGAGTTATTTCAGCTTACTGGGGGACATTAATGGTAGATTAAGCATAGATTTACATTTTGACTATCCACAGAGAGCTGTCTTCCGAGTGTGAGACCGCAAGTAAGAGGCTCTCATCTCTTAAATATTTTTGCAAAAGAGCATAGAATTCGGAGCTAATCTAGCAGTTTTCTTCCTGGTAGGAAACATCCAGGAGAACACTGTGAAAGGAAGGAAGGAACCTTCATAGAATCTATCTTCTTTCATCTTCTAATGAAGAAGTGAAAGAGTGGGAAAACATTCAAAACAAACTATAGGCCGTTCAAGATGAGACCTTTGTCTTACCCCAGATTTTTACATCACTTTGCACAGCTGGGCTTCACCTAGAAGTCACAAAATTCTGCAGATTGCTGCTGTGCTTTACTGTTGACCTGTATAAGAATCAGTTTCACTTTCTAGTTTCTTCCAGAAAGGCAAGATCCATGTCTTAGTTAAGGAAGCCTGGCAGAGCAGTGGTGTTGGTGTTGCATAGTCAGATCTCTGGCTTTAATACAAATGTGGTACCTGCCTGACTGAAGCAGGTGCTCTTAAATCTACCAGAGAAGAAAAATGCTTGACTAATTAATGATACTGACAGTACTGTTGGAATCTGACTATGAGGCTTTTAATAGCTGTCACCTGCATGCTTTTTGCACCTTCAGTTCTAAAGCATGTCACAGGCATCCTGCATGCATTAATTTCTTTACCATGGAGATTGATCTTCAAATGAGATGCGAAGTCTTTTTTTTTCATTTGAAATGAAAGCTATCATAAGTTTTGTAAAGATCTTGTAAGATAACTCACAATAGCCAGGAAATAATGTCAGAAGAGTCAAAAGGCCAAAGTACCAGTAACATTGCTATGAAAATCAATAAAGTGCATCTTAGCAAATATATTTTGCTCCATATTTCGGTGTACTGTGTTCAAATCCTTTTACTCCAGGACTTAATTACAACTTTTGATTAAATTAGTGGCAATTTCTTCACCTCGTTAAGGCAAATTGTTTCTTTAATTTCATATTCTTGTGTAGATTTATATCCATTAGGATAGGGGAATAAAGTCAACTCTGAATCTCTCTTAACAATGTAATAAACTTCTGTTATATATTATTACATCTCTGTAATCTGACTCTGTCTTGAAAGTAGTATTAAGAATGATTCAGAAAAGGATGTTAAGGACAGGTCTTAGGAGGGCTATTTTAGGAGCATATTTTAGGAGGATTCTAAGAGCATGTCTTAAGACATTGTCCTCCTAAAGGCATAAATTATGATTTAATATGCATTGGTGCTTTTAAAGAGAAGTGTCTCCACTTGGTCACAGCATGGCACCAAGAATCCTTGATTCCCTTATGACATTATGACAGGCATTCCTTATGACTCTAAGTCTGGCTAAACTGGCAGATATTGGGTTGTGAGGTTTTCAACATATTTTCCATCTAACTTGTAATTAGAAGAAAGTGAGCTGAATAGGAATGAGGTTGGTTTATATTTGTGTGGGAAACTAATGCAAGAGAGTTGGGGCTGTTCAGCCTGGAGAAGAGAAGGCTCTGGGGTGATCTTATAGCAGCCTTCCAGTACTTAAAGGGGGCCTACAGGAAAGCTGGAGAGAAACTTTTTACAAGGAGTATATGGTGATAAGACAAGGGGCAATGGCTTTAAACTGAAAGAGGGCAGATTTAGATTAGATCTAAGGAAGAAATTCTTCACTCTGAGGGTGGTGAGGCACTGGAACAGGTTCCCCAGAGAAGCTGTGGATGCCCCATCCCTGGAAGTGTTCAAGGCCAGGTTGGATGGGGCTTTGAGCAACCTGGTGTATTGGAGGGTGTCCCTGCCCATGGCAGGGAGGTTGGGACTAGATGATCTTTGAGGTCCCTTCCAACCCAAACCATTCTGTCATTCTATGCTTCAGGGATTAGTCCGCAGAGGAGATACTGCTACCCAAAACAGTGGGTAAATGGACTGCCAATAACTAAAGCCTTCAAAAATGGTATCTTCCCTGCCTCTCATTTCTTGGGGAGCACTGACAGGACGGATACCTGTTATCACAGTACAAATGGCAGCACAGGAGGGGGAAAAGAAGCAAGAATTTACTCAGTGCGGGGCCAGTGTGGACTGCCAGTTGCAGGCTCTTTCTCTAGACTGGGTGGTGCCTGTCACTGGTGCAGCTGTGAAAGTCTTGCTCTTCCTTGAGTTGGCCCTTGGCTTTTAATGATGGTGACAGATTGCAAGATCTCAGTTATTGCAAGAGCACTTTAAGAGCTGCCTCTCTCTAGTAAATACTGCTAGCAGTGGCGTAGATCCTTACCCTTGCTGCAGCCGGCCTTGGTGCCTGTTACTCTGTGTGGTGTTGGGGCATTTACAGCCTGTGACAAGACTTTGATGTTCTGCTATTTGGAGTATTGTGTGTGCACTAAAAATAATCCTTCAAAAGAATCTGAATTCTGGGTGTGATTTTTATGGACAGAATAGAACTGTTTACTGCGTAAGTTTTGCCGTGCCCTGCCCTCCCGTGTCTCGTTTTCTCTTTCCTTCTATTCCACTCCTCTCACTCTTTTCTCTTCTGAAGCTCTGATCTGTGCAGCTGATTCCACTCTAATTTTGAGTCCTTTTCTCCTCTTTTCCAAACCATTTTCTCATGCTTTAATTGCTTAACCACATTATGTTGGAATGTATATGGTATGTTTTTATTAAAAGACAATTTCTAATTATGCAGTGCCTGGTATAGGGATACACAAGTTCTTTCCTATCAGGATGACAATTTTAGGATGGCTTTAGAAAAAAGGTTTTGTTTCTTCCCTTTTCAGTCAGCTCCACAGCTGAAAATTTGCCAAATCTGACTGTAAGGTTGGAGGAGTCAGAAGCAAAGGTAAAAAGCGTAATTCTGTGAAGAAAGCTCAAATACAGTTTGTTTGGGTTTTTTACTGCAACAAGCAATGAGTATCCTGAAAGATGATAAATTAAGACCATGTCTTCTGTGACTGTGCACAAGCATTTTCTGAGCTGTTGGAAGTTTCCAAAGTTTTGATCCTGTTCTGCCATCCATGAAGTATGTCATATGGCTTCGTAAAGGACTCCCTTTATGTGCACGGGAAAGTAGGTCAGGTTTCCTTCTTCCTGCAACTGAAGATAATATAAGTGAAGATAATGTAAATATTTAGTATGATGACTTTTTTAAGGCTTACTACTCTGGCACAACTGATCTGTTTCCTCTTGACAAGTGGTAAAAGAAACTGTTAGAGGAAACAAGATTGGAAGAAGCTTACCGGATCATAAGGTCTGGGTTTCTAGTCTTTAAGGCAACCGTATCACACAGACCCATTCATAAAGTGATTGAGCTCTCTACTAAAGCCATCTACGTTTTGTTGCCACTGCTGTAATAGCAGGACTTTTCTGGATTATATTCCTCTGACAATTTGAAAGAAGATACTTGGACAATTTTTAACTTGCAGACAGCTCTCATCCCGGCATGCAGTCCTCTCCAAACCCCCGGTTTGGAGTTTTTACTGTCATTGATGACCAGTGCCTTCTACAATGGCATAATGCTGTGCTGTTTCTGTTAGAAGTAGAAATTAAATTGAATCCTATAGGTCAATTATCAAATACTTTACTATCATCTAGAATGGAATTGTAGCATTTTCTTTATCCAAAAAGGATAATCACTTACATGCCACAGGTGAAGACGTGTTCAGTTCTGGTTTTGTTGGGGGTTTTTTTGGTCGGTTTGGGTTTTTTCCCTTCGAAGTCTGTTTTGGAATCATAAGTAAAAGCATATTATTTCCTTGAGGAACAGCAACCATCACATTTGATGATTTTTAATTTTGTTAAAGTGACCACTCCTAGAGTGCTAAGTCTACTTAGGGAAAAGGGTTTAATATACCTTAATTTTATCAGGTGATTCATAGTGTGGTAGTTTCGCGCTCATCAAAGATCAGGGATTTTATTTCTTGTTCTTTTCAGCTATATTCACTGAACTCTTATTTGTATTTTATTGCAGTTGTCTACCTGGTGGTTTTTCATCTGTCGTTTGTCATGTTTGTTTGGTCCTATTGGAAGACAATTTTCACATCTCCTGCATCCCCCTCTAATGAGGTAAATATAACATTAGAAAAATACCAATGCCTTTTTTATAAATAGCTGATCTGTTTTCAGTGATGAAACTTGTTTGCAGTACTGCATGATTCACCTTTCCCTTCTCTTTATCTAAAATAGAACAGCGTGACAGTGTATCATAAATGAAAATTATAAAATTACTCTTAAAATACTGGATGCGTTGTGTAATGATGTTTCCTTATATGAAATGTGTGTTTAATTCATCACAAGTTTGACAGTCATGTACAGTGCTTTGCTGTGAAGTAGCTTGCATGAAACCTGGAATTTTTAACATGGACAAATACAGTGTCATCATTTTTGTATTTCCATTTTAGGCAGTTTTGGCCTTTGTTTGACTAAGATAAAGTAGTAATGCAATGTATACTCATAACCTGGAGGACTGGACCGCTTACTACTAAGTCAAGGGTTAAGAGTTAGTGACAATTGAGAATCAGATGCATAAAGGAGCTTTACATATGGCAAAAGAATGCATGATGACTGTAAGAAGTTTTGTTTTGAAAAAGAACAGTATTAATTGCAATAAGCCTGAGACGGATTTACAAGGATTACCTTGTTTTCTATTTTGTCAAAGGGGGGTGTGTGTGTAAGGATTAAATACTGGCACCAAATTTAAAATACTTCCCTTCCTTGTCTTTTTAAAGCTTTTAAATTGGCTAAACTGTTTGAGGTTTTGGTTGCTCTATGGGGGTTGAATTTTTATGCTGTTTTTGGCAAGACTGACTTTCAGTGCTAATGTCAACCCTAAACATTTTTGAAAAGAGTTAAAACTATGCTTCGAAGGAAAAGCAGACACTGCTCTGCTTTTTTGGCTTAGAGTTCTGTATCATAGAAAGCTACAGAATATAAATTGAAAAAAGCTAAAGGCTATTCTGCTGTTTAGCTAAGCAAAAAGAGTAGTACTGAATTATTAAACCTAAAAATTCAACGGGACTTGTTTTCAGGGTAGTTTGTTTTGGCTTTATCTGGACGGTTCCACAGAAAAATGATGAAGTTAACCAGGTTAGCTAATTGAAGTGTGGTTGGAACCATGTTAATCAGGTTTTGTAAAGCTATATGAGCTAGAGCTGCTCATAAAGCTAATGCCTAGTAACTTTTACTGTCTACATGGATTCTTCAATAATGAAAAACTTCTTCTGACAGTACTTATCCTGTGGTTACAGTAATGTTGTAGCAAGCTTTTCATATTCGGTGAGTGAAGGGGACAGTTTGGGCATATGACATGTAATGAATATTTCCTACATGAAACGTGGGGGTAGATCAGATTTAACACAATTTTCTTCTACAGCTAGCTTTAAAAAGAAAAAGAAAAAAAAAACACACACCCACAACAACAAACAACACACACCAAAAAAAAACCACCAAAAACCAACCAACCAAAAAAAAAATCACCATTTTTTTTCTCTCTGGGCAAATCCCTTCTGTTCGTGTACCAGTGAGTAATTTATGCTGGTTTTACTTAAAACCTGACTTCAGAATCTCCCCATTGTATGAGAGTGCGAATGTATATATTTTTAGTTATTCAAATTAGCCATTCTTGCAAAACAAATAGCATCCTGTGATCTTACTATTGAACTAAAAAAATATTTTGCAGCTGCTGTTGTCTTAGTGTAATCCCTGTACGTTTGTCATGAGAAAGAACAATCAACGTTACACAAGATCCAGAAAGAGGAAGGAAACAAAGGGACTCTTTCTGTTTTCAATAAGAACTGCTGGAACCTCATTGGAAATTCTCTTAGCTATGTGGTAACAGACAACTTTTGATGCCTTTGAACATATCCTGCTATTGTCCAGAGAGACTGTGGTCTCATGACTGTATTAATTTCTGAAACTAGAACAGAAATCTAGCTTTTCGGAAAACCAAAATCTTACTCAGAGTTTTTTGAGCAATATTATGATGTTACTTGGACAAATTAAAAAAGTTTAAAATCTTGTGATTTAGTTCCTTGTCTGTGCATTAATGGTTTGCCATAGAAATGTCATCTAGAAGTAGTATTTCATGTTTAATGCAACCTCTGCTTGATTGCAGGTCATGGAGACAGGCATTTGGTCACCTAGCAGACTCACAAGGGTGACAGGGAGGAAGGCATATTGCAGCTCAGTTTGGTGCTTCATATCTGTCTTAAACTTTTGATGTGAGCATCTCCAGTTTTCATATTTGAGTAAATATCTAGCTTAGGGACAGATATTAAAAGATTAGGTCAAACTCTTGTCGATGACTGAAATGCTAAAATTTAATTTCACTCTTTGCATAGTTTGATCCTTGTTTCTGATTATTTAAAAGGGGAGTATGTTTCATGTTTCACCCTTGAATGGTGGGTAGGCTCAATAACTGGCATGATACTGTATGTAACAGGAGACTTAACTAGGTTCTGAGACATGAGGCAACTTATTTGCATTAATTATTGAGTTAAAAAATAACGCGGAGAAATTGCAGCAATGTCGTCTTGCTTCCTCCTTTCTGTAAGTGGAGTCTTCATTGTTGCTTGCCAACTGACACTAATCCAAAAGAGGAAAAAGTACAGGCTGAGAGGAAAGTCCATGTGAAATAATCATATATGTTCTTGGTAGGAAAATATGGTCATATTAAACCACACTAAGCCAGTTTTTGTTCCAGTTGCACACACAGCATTTTCCACTCACTACCATGAATACTTTATGTGTGCTCATAAAAAGGGCTCTTGTAGTCCATGCGGGAAGCTCAGAGTTTAAAAATGCTTCAGAACAGAAAAATACCAAAGGAAATAGTGAGTTCAGCCCCAACTCTGCAGGGGCTTGTCAGCACACTGGGTTTTGTGGGGCTTAATGGTAAATCTGATAATTTCAGTGGATATCAAATGAGGTGTCTCACGAGTGGGTGAGAGCTCTCCAGGTTCTTCTGGTAAAGCTTTACGTTTCAGTGAGGCTTCAACAGGAATGGTCCTCATGCTTTACTCAGAATTGTAACTCTCTCTGAAACTGTACAGGCTTTGCTGAAATCACTTTCAATACAGCTCATGGATTTTGAGAGCTCATGGATTTTGAGACTAGTTCTGACTACTCCCAAGTAAAAATTCCAGTTAAACTCTTAACTTCTGTGTTGAAGCCATGAGGGCTCCCTCCCTTCCTTTCCCACTCTTCTATCTTGTACCCCTTTATAAGTCCAAGAAAGGAAGTGGGATAAGAGAACTTTAGTGCCCTGTAGCAACCAAGGACTGTTGCACCTTCCTCTTGTTCACAGATGGCTTAATTTATGCATATCAGGAGTTAAAGGAAAGGTTGCATCATCTTAAAACTCTCCTGAGTCTCTGGCTACCTTTGTGTTGAAGGGAAAATGCCATAGATAATGGAATAGAGATAAAGATTACTTTCTTCAAAACATGCTCGGGGCTGTCATGGAGTTTTGAGGATTTCCTGTAATTCCTGTAGCATTCTTTTTTCTTTATGTGGGGTTTTTGGGGCTGGTGGGTGGTAGTTGTCCGAAGACATAGGGTTAAGATACATAGCATCTTTTCCTTGGAGCTCGACACAAGTATTATTATTACACAAGTAATAATTAATCTCTTTCCTTCATTCTATTTTCTCCCTCTCTCCTAGTTCTGCTTGTCAAAAGCTGATAAAGAACAATATGAAAAAGAAGAGAGACCAGAATCCCAGCAGGAGATTTTGAGAAGAGCTGCTAAAGACTTGCCTATCTATACGACAACAGCATCGAGAGGTGAGATAGAAAGATAAATCTGTGCTTCTGAAGCTGCTAGTTTAATTCAGTGAAATTCATTTGATGTCACTGAATGTACAATCTATTAAGCGCATATTGCAAAGGCCATGACCCTGTTTTCTGATTTGTTTGGGCTGTTTTCTCTCCCTGCAAGAGAAACTGGAGTCCTTTGTTTGGGGATCTCAACATGTAGCCAGTATTTGGAATTAAAAAAAAACACAAACAAAAACCAAACAAATCCTCTTCTAGCAAGCAGATAGATGACAACATTTATTTCTAATTGTGGCTATAAAAATAAACACAGCAGAGAATACAGTCAATACAGCTAGAAACAGAGAAAATTCAACTTTTTTATACTCAATTTTATATAATCATTCATATTGCCCTTTAAACTTCTTTTTCTGAGCTGTCTCTTTTTCAGCAGGAGCAGAAACGTCATACTTAAGGGTAGAATTTAAGAACAAAAACGTGTTGTTTCGTTCCCATCTGTAATTCAGTACAAAGCTAGTTATGGGCTATTTCTGTATTTGCCTTTAAAATATGTATAGGCATTTTTATTCCAACTTCTATATGAATGATCTGTGAAACTGCTGTCTTATACATATGTATATTCTTCAAAAAATCTAGCTTTTATACATATATATGTTTCTCTTTCTTGAAACTAGCAATGCTGTAGAGTTTTCCAAAAACATAAACTACTCAGAATAACTGTTACCAAAGTTTACTGTGACTTTCCAAACAAAGTCTAAGGACACCTGGCTTTTTTTAATACAAGCTTCCCTTTAAGGGAATACCAGTCTTAAGTTCCTGGAGTGGTCTGGGAAGCTCTTGCCAGCTCTTAGCAGTTCTGCTTAGCTGTAGGTGTTGGCTTTCCTCCTCCTTTCAAACTGCCTGGGCTGGTGTCTTATTTCCATTGAGAAGAGCCTGAAGGCTTGTTTAAAAATATCCAGGAAAGATGAGGAAGAGCTCATTTGCTCAACAGTCTGCTAGTTCCTGTTTGCTGAAGAGGATAAAGAAAGC